GAAAAGAGAGAGAGAAAGAGAGAGTAAGAGAGAGAGAGAGAGTGAGAGAGAGGCGGGGAGAGAGCTGCAGAGGAGAGAGTGACAGAGAGAGAGAGAAACAGAGACCGAGAGAGCTACAGCCCTGTTTAAGTATTCTATTTCCTTTCTGATCTTCTGTGTTGTTGTTCTACCCATTATTGAAAGTGGGCATTAAATTCCCAACTATTATTTTTGAATTATTTCTCCCTTTACTTCTAGTAGTTTTTGCTTCATATATTTTGAGGCTCTTTTGTTTGGTGCTTTTTTTTTTAAAGTCAGAGACTCACTCTGACGCCAGGGTGAAGTGCAGCGATCACGGCTACCACAGGTTCCACCTGCTGGGTTCAGGCGATCCTTCCGCCTCAGCCTCCTGAGTACCTGGGACTACAGGCATGCAATGCCATGCCTGGTTAATTTCTTAACGTACTGTAGTGACGACATCTTGCCTGTTGCCCAGGCTGGTCATCTCAACTCAGTCTCCCAAAGTGCTGGGATTATAGGTGTGAACCACTGCACTCAGCCTGGCACATATATGTTTGTGGTTATTGTATCTTCTTGGTGAACTGACTCTTTTACCATAATGTCCTTTGTCTAACAATTTTTGTCATCGTCTGGTCCAATATTTGTATAGTCACTTCTGCTCTCTTTTGACTACTGTTTGCCTGGGATATCCTTTTCCATCCTTTTACTCTTATTTGTGTCTTTGAATCTCAAGTGAGTCACCTCCAAACACAAAGCTGGATCATGGTGGGCTACATCAATGCATTTTGTTTAACAAAAGTATCAGAGCTCTAGGTCTCTACTGTACACTTCCATTTATAAGTGCAGAAATAGGCAAAAGTGGCCTGTACTGACAGTCGGGGAGTTATCCCCGGGAGGAATGCGTGCAGAAAGCACCAGGGCTTCAGAGGGCCATCTTCATTTGCTTTTCATCTAGTTTTTTGGCTGTACCATGTGACAGTATGTTCAGCTTGCACGAATCCACTCAGTCAGTGGACACTTGTTTGCACTCACGTATGTGTGCTATACCTTACAAAAACTTTAAAGGAAACAAATCTTGAGATTCCTTACTCAAGAACAAGATAAACATAAGGGATCCTGGGGGGGAGAGGGGTGGAATCATTGGTTCCTATTGTTCTCTCCTCCTAGAAGGTCCAAGTCACAGGCCTCCAATGTGGATGCATGGAGGCCTTTTCTGTGGGTGAAGTATAATGGCACTGCCTCTTTCTGCTCTTATGGAAGGAGAAGCTCCATGTGGGAAGACCCTTTCACCCCAAGGACTGGGCTCAAGAAGACAGGCTCTTGGACGGACAAGGTGAACACACAAGAGCCAGCATGCTGCCCATGAGAAAATACAATACAGTAAGTCCCCTACATACCAACACAAGTCCCATTCTGAGTGAGTTCCAAAGTCCAATCTGTTCATAAGTCCAACAAAGGTAGCTTAGGTGTCCAACTAACATCATTGGCTATATAGTACTGTACTGTAATAGGCTTATAATACTTTTCACACAAATAATACATTCAAAATAAGCAAACAAAATAAACAGAAAACATTTTTAATCTTACAGAATGGCACCTCACGCACACATGATAATGTATGCCAGACACGTAAACTAACTTATGTGACCGGACATGCGAATGCACGTTCACATCTTTGAAAGTTCAGAGCTTGAAGGTTCGTGTGTAGGGGACTTACTGTAAATAGTAACACTCAGTCCTTTCTGGCACCGCTGTGTGGACAGAGCGGAAAGGTGAGCACACGGAGAGGCAAACTTGGTGTCTGTTCCCCTTTGGAGGCTCTGTGGGCAAGGAGTAGCTCAGTGACTTGGCAGGGCTGGCAGGCAGACACCCTCTTGATGTGTGCTGGTGAAGGACAAACACTGCCCCGAAAGCACATCCAGGGAGGGGGGAGCCAGGGAACTTCAGGGTTACTAAATACATGGCTGTGTTCGCTGCATGCAAAGCTGGCATGTACATGAAGGCGCATGCACTTCCCTGGATGCAAATCACACCTTGAGAAAATGCTGCCTTGACATTACACCCCGCAGCACAAAGGCCCAGCTCCACAGTCGGGTGTCTGAGGCCTTGGCGGCGATGAAGGCAGCAAGAACCACACTGGCAACCCTCAGCCACTGAACATTCACTGCCTGCGACGTCCCTAGGGCTTGACGAGGCTTTGCAACCATGTGAGAGGTACTCTTGTCCCCAGCTTACAGATGGGGAAGCTGAGGCGCAGACAGCCCTAAGGCAGTCAGGGTCAGCCAGCTGCCGAACGGTGGTGACTCAGCCATGACTCCAACTCCCAAGTCCCGTGCTGCCGTCCTCAGCTCTAGCAGCCTGCCAGGGGTGGGGGCGAACCCACTGCAGGGTAACGCAACACGGGGAGGAAATGGAGACTACCCCCTCCCAGAAGGGAAGGCCGAGCAAAGGCCTTTGAGCATGGACTGCCGCCTTCTGCAGGCTCCTGGGGCCACACCCTCTCAGGAGGGTGTCGCTTCACCTGTGAAACTGAAGCATGTGTTCAATGATCCAGAACATGGGGATGGAGCAAGGACAGACCAGAGAGCCCGGACGCTAGCGTGAGTCAGACACACCACTGGGCAGACGCGGGCCAGGCACGCTGGGCCGTGCACCAGGGGGGAGCGGAAGGCACAGGCTGTGAGCACCTCCTGAAAAGGGGCAGGCCCCACAGGGCCCTGCCACCTACCTACGACGCCCTCCTTCTTTAGGGGCTTCTTCCAGATAAGTCGAGGCTCTCTTTGCAGCCTTTTCCAGGGGTTGGGACAATGGCTTTTTTTATCCAGCCAGAAAGAGTGGCTCAAACGAGAACAGGTCATGGCGGCCACTACGAAAGAGGGATGGCATCTTCAAGGGGCGGGGCTCTGCAGTGGCAGTGAGGCTGGGAGAGGCGGCAGGGCAGTGACACCCAGACCGAGGGAAGGGGCCTGGGAAAGGGGTACGGCGGCCTTCCTGAGGGAAGACCACGTGGGCAAAGCCAGACGGGCCTGACCGACGCTTTCAGAAGAGGTCCCTGGTACGGACTGCCCCATGGCTAGGATACTGTCCCCTCTTCTCACACCCACAGCTGCCATGAGAAGGCGCCCAGTACGTATCTGTATTCTTCCTACAGATCAGTATGGTTTTGTGTTGACAAACAGTAACCCTTGTTCCTGCCTCTGCCCGTTCCTGGGTTCGGAGAGCAAGAGTCTGGACGGCAAGGGATCCCGTGCGATCTGGATCCCTGCTTCCTAGGCGGAGCAGCGTGGGCTGGGCTCGCTCCGTGTCCACACGCACTACGTGCTCTTGCCGCCAAGATGCTAGGAATCCACCCTGATGTGCAGAGGACCCTGGAGGCGCGTCCTGTCCCAGGCAGCCACTTCCCACGCCCCCCAGACAAACCTCAGGCTGCTTTCAGCTCCTGCCACCAGGGTTGCTATTGTTCGAGGAACTGGAATTGCTGTGTGCTGCTGGAACCAGAGTTATCTGGAGCAGGGAGTCAGAACAGCCACAGAGAACAAGCGTGTGCTTTGTCTTTTTATTATTATTTATTTACTGGTCCTACCAACGTGACCCTTTACCCAGGCCCATTGTTCCTATGCGCACTCGCTTTGCAGACATTCACATCTGAGGTCTGCATCCAGAGAATCTCAATCAATTTCTCCTTCCTTCCTATTCTTTTTCTATGCTCTGCCTCATTTTCTCAGAAATTGAAGGCATTTGCTTATTATTATTTGCTTGGGTCTGTGTAAAGGTTCCTTGGCAGAAGAACATGCATATGACTTTAAAATAAAGACCAACATTCTGACACTAAGGTAATGCACAGAAAAAAATACAGTACTCAGACGTCATTGCAAATAAATACCCCATACAGATGAAGTTATTTCAAATGTAACAATATTTCTTATGAATCAATACTGTAACAGAAGGTAAAAATAGGAGTCCCTACAACTAGGAATAAGAAATGCTCATTCCAGGAAACAGAATTCTTTTATTCTTGACTTTTACATGATTATAATTTGTCCTTTTTCTGGAGGAGGGAGACAGTTTTGCTTCCTCCAAGAGTACTAATTTGATCACTCACTCCCAGGAACCTCACTCAGCAAACAGATCAGAATGCAGACCTGGTTTGCAAAGGAGCTTTAATGAGTTCTGTTTCCTGAAATTAACAGTGATTAGTTACACCAAGCAAGAGAAGGTATAACGTCTTGCTCTCACATTTGCAAAGAATTCTATGGCTAACCCTCGCTCTCCACTGCACGCTGACAGGCGCCAGCCCTCCTGATACCCTCGGCTCTTCACAAACGTGGCGCTCGTAACAGCTTGCTCAGCTTGTCCCAGAAGTCCATTTGGTTCCCAAAGCACACTCAAGGTTTTGTGTTTGCTTTCATTTTCTAAGCCCCTGAATTTGCAAGTAAAGAATCACTGACTAACAGAATTTTGCACAATGACTGTTTTCTTTCCCTTGATGAAGATGCCCAGGTCGGGTGTGAGGCGCTCCGGCCCCACACTGGCCTCTAGCACACCCACAAGCTCTTCCCTGCCTGCTTTAGAGAGACATCTACGCTGGGACACCTCCCTTAACGGATGAAGGCACTACTGGCAATGATTACTAACAAAAAGGCATTGAAAGAGAACACCCTAAAAATCGACGACTGTAGAATTTTCTAAGTGTACCACAATTTGGCACAACAACCAGAGTAAACAAAACAATTCCAATTTGGAATTTTACTGGTACAGTTGTGTAAAATTCTGTTAATCAGTCATGCTTCACAATGTCCTAAAACCCAGAAAATTCTGGAATTTGTAGGTAATACTACTCATTCAATAATTTATTTTTTTCAAGTGCCTATTACTGTTTTAACCAGAGCAAAGGTCAAGTTTTCTTCTTGTTACAATGAACTATTCCTAAGAATAATAATAATACAATATGAAAAACCCCAGAATCGGAATACCCTGGATTTCTTAATGAACATGGCATTTAAAATCTGTAATTTCAAACATGAACCACAATGCCGTATAATCTAAAAGGCAGCTGACCACAGCATGGATACACTTGGCCGAGCTCCTCGCCGGGTCAAAGCCCTCTCATTTCCACAGTCTAGAGCTACACACTAGGAGCACCCAGCTCTGCCTCAAGCTGACACCAGACAGCGTGGCGGGAGCTGAGGCGGACAGCTATAGGACCACAAGCATAGACACGGCACCTAAGACCATCTCTATGTGAGGAATTAAGGAAGCAAATATAATATCAAAATATCAAAAGTGCACAGGTTGATCGGATAAAAAAGGAACATGTGTAATAAGGAGCCCGGGCAGGCGTGTCCAGCGGGCCCTGGCGAGCCCGGCAGCCAGGAAGCAGGGTCTTCAGCCCGTGCGGAGGCCTTTCCACACAGCAGCTCGAGGCATGCTCAACATTAAAGCTTTTTTCCTCCCATCAAAAACGCAGGGAATGCTATTTTGAAAAGAAATGCAGTGGCATATCCAAAAACGTTTCTAAGTGGACTTTTGGGTGGCCCTTCCTCCTCGTGGGCCACGGGAAGGAAGGGGCGGGGCTGCGGCGCGACAGGGCCGGGTGGCCAAGTCCTCCCAGCAGCTACGCTACAGCTGAAAACGGGAAAAAACAAGACAGCATTAGAAGGCGGTCACTTGTCACTTCCCATCCATCTGACAACCAAAGCTCTCCACGTGCTGGGAGGGCACGAGCACATTAGTTGGCAGAAGAGAAGACCTGCACGTGTTAGGGGGCCAATGGCTCTGACCGCCTGCAAAGCCCCTCGGGTGTACACGGAGAAGCTGCATTGGGCATGAGGGCAAAGCGGCGGGCATGCAGGCAGCCATTCCACCACCGCTCAGCTGGGGTGGGGATCCAGGCCCGGACCGACGACACAGGCGGGCCCGGTTCTGGAGTCTGAAGAACAGCACAGGGATGAGCAGGTGGGGCAGACGGCTCTGGGAGGGGCAACACAGCTCTCACCAGGTGACTGAACTCCCTTCTGCACAGAGGCGAGGCCGGCAGCTTGTGGGAGAAGACTGCAACCCAGGCCCCGCTGCCCACAGGGTGACTAGGAGGAGGACACTGAGAACAGCTCTGCTTTCGATGCAGGAAGGCAGATGGCCTGATGCCAGAGCTCTGGTGCTGACGGAGCCTCTGGACAAGAGAGCCTTGTAACTGCCTTTCCCCTTTCTCTATCACCACCCACCGAATTGCACTAAGTAAAAAAGAACCACACACCTCCTACCTGTGGATCCTGGCAACGGCCCTGGCCCCACGCAAAGCTTTCCCAGCCCTGGGCTGGACTCTGGGTGATCTTCAAGTCAGCTGAGCCCACCGGCGGCTCAGACTTCAGGCTAGGGTTGTCAAAGCCTTGCTTCTTCTGGACTGAAGCCCCCAGAGGAAGGCCGGACAACGGCTGCTGGGGTTACCCCAAGCACAAAGGGATGGGCTTCACACTGAGGACAAAATCTTGCCAGGCACTTGGAAAGCTTTTCTAATTAAAAAAGAAACCCCAAGGGCCCTGCCAATCTGTCACCTCACAGGCCACCAGGCAAGCATGCAGGTCTCAGAAATAAGAAACCAAGCTCTGGGTTCCTGGGTTGCAGTCAGCTGTGTCTGTGCCATGTGTCTGGTCAGGAGAATACAGGGGCTCAGGGCTGTGCTTCTCGGGGGGGGGAGGGAATTCTGCACGTCTGTCCTGAATGTGACTTGCAGGGAGATGCTGCACAAACTACCACATAATTCTTACCATAAAACTCTGAGTGCAGAGCCAGCCTCTAAGGCCAGAACCTCCTAAAACTGCTTTCCGGTGCTGACATTAGACACATGCGAGAACATGCAAGTTTCAACTCAGGTTCGGCCCCTGTGGGGTACCCCGAGAGCAGGACCAGGACTCCTTCCCCCGGGCTTTCCCAAGGGCACCCAGGGCCCCTGGAAGACATGTCTACATGTCTGTCTTCCGCAAGGCCATGTAGCTCCTCCCCAGCCCTCACCTAAGAGAGCAGCTGAGGCCAGGGGTACAGGGTGCTCCTAAGGGCCTGCAAGGAATGAGAAACCACGGAGCTCTCCCAGGAGTGTCCAGGCGATGCATGCGCCCCGCGTTGGCTTGGTTAGAATCCTGCCCTCGGTGCATTAGTCACGTTAAGACTGACCTAGCGCCGCCGTCCCGCTGCTGCTGGTTAGTTGAGGTGAAGCAGACGTTAGCTGCAGCGTGCGGCACCCCGCAGCCCCTAATCACAGTAAATGCTGTGCTTCTCGCTGCAGAACACCTGGCTGGCCAGCCCGGTGCCCTCGGCCCTGTCGCTGGCACAGGCGCAGGTGTGACTTACGCTCGGGGGGGCCGGCTTGGCCTTGGGGGCGGCCTTGGCACGGCCACGCCGGGTCTGCTCGTGGTCTAGCTCGAGCAGCTCCAACCGCTGGGTCAGCGCCAGCTTCTGCTGGATGGCCATGCGCAGCAGTGAGTTCAGGGTCTTCTTCTCGTCCTCTGCAGCCGCCAGCTGCCGCTGCATCTCGTCCAGCTGCGTGATGTACTCGTCGCACCTGTGGGCACGGAGAGCATGGCTGAGGGGTGAGCAGAGCCAGGCAGGGAGGGCAGGGCTGGACGAGACTTGCTCTGACTTCTCTCAGCAGAGGCTTTGATCAGACAAGCCTCTGATGAGGGTCGGAAGGAGGCTCAGGCCCAGGCCGGTCCATCCTGAGACTGGTTTGAGTTTCCTGTTTTGGTGGAGGAGAGGAACTGCTCTCTTCACTCGCCCAGATGTGGTTTCCATAAAGAGGCCGTGCCCTTCGGTGGCTCAGCTTTCTCTGGGAGGGGGTCTCATCACATCAAGGCCTCAAGGTAGCTTGGGCCATTGAGACACAAGATGCCACTGGCTTCTAGGGTGTGGATGTAAACCTGAGCAGGACTGAGCCTGTTCCTGAGGTTGGCACTCAGGGAATCTGTGCTGAGAGAACCACCAGAGGCATGAACAGCCTCTTGCTGAACCCTGGGCCTCGCTTGACTGGAAGCTGCCTGTCCCACGCGAGTGTGGAGCTGAGGGAGGGTCTGGTTTTGTCCCTGGGCATCCCTCTCCCACACGTGCAGGCTAAACCCTAGGGCTTCCCGGGTCCACGCGGGCCCTGAGCATGGCCCCATCTTGCCCCCACCCGCCAGGAGCCAGTCCTTTAGCAGCACCCTTTCCAGAGACTACGCCACCCAGGGACGCACACTGAGCTATAATCCTTGCGGGTCTGGAAATCCTGGCTCCACCTCAAAGTCAAGTCTTTAAATAAATAAAACAAATTTTTAAAAGCTACAGTTTACATGCCAGATGTTGAGAAACTGCGGGATCTGTCAGGGAAGAAAGGAAGGAAGCTCCTAGAAAAACCCTTGAAACGCTTTCTTATCTGTGCCCTGCTCTGGCAGCGCCTGCAGGGAAGCTGCGAGAGTGAGTGCCCAGCACCAGGCTTGAGAGAAGCAGGCCCCGCGCTCAGTTCCTGCCTTGCCTGCCGCTGAGCCTCAGCTTTCTCGCCCACAAAAAGGAAAGGTCTCGGGGATCTGCCGGGCCCACAGTGAGCTTGGCCATCCTCTGCCCAAGGGGCCGTCCCCACAGAGCCATCCCTGAAGCAGCCAGCAGGTGGCACCACGACATTTGGAGGCTGAAGGCAGGGCCGCCTGTCGGAGGCACCCGGGGAGCTGCTGGCCTCAGAGCTTCTCCCATGGAGCCCCTCAACACCCAAGAAGCCTTGCTTCCCAGCCTTGGGGTCTGTCTTCCCCTGCCAGGGAGGGGTGTGTGTGCACGGGGCACCCAGAGCCCATCACCAAGAGCCTCCCACGAGAGAAGGCGAGCTCGTCCTCTCCTAGCCCCAAGGCTTCCTCCTCGGCCTCCCCTGCCTGGCAGAGGTGCAGAGCTGTGCACAGACGTGGGACCCCAACAGTGGACCCCAGCCCTGACCTGCTCACCGGGAGGGGAGACTTCCTTCTGAACCTACAAACCTGAATGCACGCTTGTGCCTTATAGCCAAGTTCCAGGGGTCAAATCCTTGTAAGAGAAAAGGCCAGGCTCATCTGTCACCAACTGGCCCCAAGTCAGTCCCCGTCACTGCAGGATCCAAGGGCGGGGTCCAGACTCCCACCCACCTTCCTGGAAAGCTGCACCTCTGGGGCATCCACTCCCGAATCTGTCCGCCTCAGCCCTCCTGCCTCTATGACTCCTGGCCAAACGCAGGTGACCGCCAGCAAGTCCCAGGCTCCAGAACTGCTCACGTGGTGCGGAGGGCGCAGCGGTGCAGGGCGGCGGACCCCTGCGTGACGTGGCCCGCCGGCCGCCTCACCCTTCCTCGGCACTGACCCGAGCACCAGCGTGCCGAGACGTCGCTGGGGCCCGGCCTCCCAGACCTCACGCGGTGCCCTCCCCCAGCGGAGCAGGATGTGGGTGGCCGTCTGGCCGCCTGCAGACCACGGAGAGGCCAGGGGGCCCGGTGTCAGGTCTGCACGAGAGGGCGGGCCCGGGTGGCGCGGGTACCTGGTGGCGAACATGGCGCGCAGCGAGGAGAAAGTGGCCGCGTCCTCCTTGAGGGCCTTGAGCTCGTTGCGCAGCTTCATCATGGTCTCGGTCACCAGGGCCTTCTCGTTCTCGTACTTGCTCTTCAGGTTGGCGAGCGCCACCTCGGCCGTCTGCGGGACAGACGCGCGCAGGGCGGGGCTGAAGGGCGGGCGGCCGGCCGCCGGCGCTCTGGGCACCCCAGTCCGGCATGGCGCCTGTGTGCCAGAGACGTGAGGGCCACGCCTCCCCGACCCACGACGCTCAGCTCCAGCAGGGCTGGTGTGGGCACTGAGATGAGTCCTGGACGCGGCCGCGGGCCTCAGACCGGGCGCTGCTGACGCCCACAGGCTGCCCGGGAGGCCCTTCCCTCTGCTGCCGCCCTGGGGATGACTCTGGCAGCTGGGCTCTGGGGCTCAGCCCGCCTCAGCAAGTCCTACCCTCCGATCCTGACCACGAGGGGCAGGAGAGAACCACGTGCCCCAAGCCTGCCTGCGAGACACACCCTCGCCCAAACCCCCGTCACTCTCCCCGTGGCACTGCGTCACGATGCGTGTATGTCACTCAGCATCGCCACGAAGTGCTCACAGGCAGGCAGCAAAAGTGCTTCTTGCTGGCTGAACGCTCTGGGGAGGCAGCCCTTGAGCCTGACCGCCTGCCCTGCCCTCCTGACTGGGAGCCCTGGGCAGGGAAGGCCAGACACCCGGGCTGACACAGGGCCAGCCCTGCCCTGTGGCGACACAGGCCTGGGGGCTCCGCAGCAGTCGAAAGACGAAGGCTGAGGGTGGGCAGTACCCAGGCCAGCCCCGGGGCGGCGCCTCACCTGCTCGCTGGCCTCGGACACCTCACCTGCTTGTTGGCTTTGAGCACCGTGCGCAGCGTGGTGATCTGCTCCCGCTTGGTGCTGAGCAGTGACTTCAGCTTGAGGATCTCCTCCATGAGCGCCTCCTTGTCCTTGTCCACGGCAGGGCCCAGCTCCTGCGAGGCGATGCGCTGCCGCGAGAGCTCCGTCGTGCGGTCCACAGCCGCCTGCAGGTGCTTAATCTGGTCGCGGATGATCGCCACAAGGTTGTAGATGTTCATGGGCTCCCGGCGTGGGTCGCTCAGGGGCGACGGCAGCGAGGAGCTGGGCGAGGGGCTGCTGTCCCCAGCCCCGCCATCTGCTCGGCCCGGCTCTGCCGCCAGCAGCCCCTTAGGCAGGAGGACAGGGGAGCGGCGCCCGCGGGCCTCAGGGCTGGGGCGGCCGGCCCCACCCTGGCCCTCGCGGTAGTAGTCCAGCATCACGCGGTTGGGGGTCTCGTTGTTGCACATGCACACGTGGTGGTACAGGTTGGCCAGCTCCTCGCTGAAGGTCGCCAGCTCATCCTGGGCCGCACTCAGGCTGCCCTGCGTCTCACCGGCGACGTCGCTCACCTTCTTCAGCTCCTTCTCCAGCCGGGCCAGCAGCTCGTGGTCCTGCCGGCTGGCCTTCTCCAGCAGGGAGACCTTCTCAGCGAGTGCCTGGCCCTCAGCCTCATAGCGGCCCTTCTCCTCGGCGTGCTGGGCCTCGCAGGCCTCGTGCGTGCTGCGCAGAGCTTTCAGCTGCTCCCGGAGCTCTCCGGCCTCGGTCACGGCCACATGGTACTTGCAGGCCAGGATCTCAGGCCCGTTGATGTCCACCTCGTAGTAGTCGCCGTCCTCGTGGCTGTCACGGTCCTTCTCAGTGTCCAGGGCTGTCTGCCGCTCTTTGCCAGCTTGCAGGCGCCGCAGGGCACTCAGGTTCTCTGTGAGGCGGCTCACCTTCTCCTGCTGCTCGGACAGGGAGCCCCGCGCGTGCTCCAGTTGCTTCTGCGTGTCCTGCAGCGCAGCCAGCAGGCCTGCCTTCTCCCGCTCCATCTGCAGAGGCACAGACAGACAGCACATATGCGGCTGAGGGCCCCAAGCTTGGAGACCCCCCAGGGATGGCCCAGTGACATCCCACCCCATGTCAGGCAGATAGGGAGCCCTCCGGTTCCTCGGCTATGTGGTCAGTGCGGCCGCACAGGGACCCACTGAGTGTGGAGAGGATGGAACTCACACTGGACCCTAAGGCTGCCTGTCACCTGTGGGCAGGCCCTTCTCCCATGCCCACAGAGGGCGCTGGGCTCAGAAAGTGGAGGCCCGTGTTGGCTGGGTAAGCGGTGGGAAGCCTCGGTGCCCCAGCCCCCAGCATGGAGAATGGGGCTCTGCTGCCCTCCTTCCCCGAACTCTGGGGGGAGCACCACCTTTTGCTGGACTCGCAGAGATCCATCCCTGGGAGAAGAGCCCACGTGGGACCCTGGCCATGCCCTCCAGCTCCTGGCCTACGAAAGGGTATCACACGTGGAGCCACTGTCCCAGCCCTTCACCCCGACACCATGTGGTGAACAGGACCAGTGCGGACACTGTGGTGCCAGGGGAGCACTTCTCTGGGGCTCTTCTCTCTGTGCCACTGGAGTTTCATTCATGGTCACCACGCAGGTCTAGTGAACAAGGTCATCGCGGGAGCGCTGTGGAGACTCAAGCATGACAGCGTGCAGGGCCCCGCGCCCACTCACCTGCATGAGCTGCTGCTTCAGCTTCTGGATCTCGGAGATATTGAGCTCGCTGAGCAGGTCGGACACGAGGCTGGGGGAGGGCGGCGCGAGGCCATCCTTCTTGGGAACGGCGGTCTTGTTGTCCAGCGGCAGCTTGGCCAGGCTGCCGTGCTCGAAGCCGTTGACCAGCGCCTCGGCGTCGTTGTTGGGCTCGGCAGCGTCGTCGCTGAACTTGAGGCCGTCCAGGGAGACGTGCAGGTGGCTGGTGTAGAAGGAGTCGTTAATGCTCATGTAGTGTGACAGCTCCTTGCGCAGGCTGTTCTTCTGCTCCCGCTCCGTCTTCAGCGTCTCCAGCGCTTCTTCCAGCTGCCGCTCCGAGATCTCCTTGAGCCGGATGGCGTCCTCCAGCTGGCTGTTGAGGTACTCTGTCTCCTCCTCCAGACGCTTAATCTCGTGCTTGAGGCCCTCGAACTCCACCTGGGGATGGAAAGTCAGACACGGTCATGACAAGGCGCCACGGAGGCTCCCTGAGGCCTAGTAAGTCAGCAATAAACACCAGCACATCCAGACCAAGGCTGCGTCCCCACTGAGGGGCGTGGGTGGTGACAGGGGCCTAGGACACGAGATGCAAAGGCACAGAAATGCTCGGCCCAGCCCACCAGCCATGGGGACAACCGTGCTGTGAGGAGAGAGCAACACAAACAACAGGTGCATGGGACCAGCGACACTGTGGCCCCGAGCTAGGACTCTGTGCAGAGATCCACAGAGAACAACACACACCCACCCTGCCAAGTTTCTATGAGGTCCCTTAAAAATATTACTAACTTAAAATTCTATAAAATTACTTAACTAGTAGTTTACTAAGTATCTTAAGGTACATATATATGTCAACGTGTGCTATGATCATCACTTTTAATCATGCTTCAAAACGAAGGAACAGAAATCCTCCCTAAGGCAGATGGCTCAGCCATTAAAACCTCAGCACACGTAAGGCGGACACCTAGACCTGGGGAGTGTGCAGGTAGGTGGGAAAAGCAAAAGCTAAGTCTTGTCTACGCTGTATTTGCAGGTGGATAAGGAAAAAGCAGGTGGAAACTGATGCTTGATGTAGGGACTCAGGGTTTGTGGGTAATTTCTAAAAATATTTCTTGTGTTTCTGCAGTATTTATGCAAAAAAACAAGAACTAAACCGGTAACATAAAGCACTGAGCAGATCTCTGGGTCTTGGGGGTAAGGAATACCAGCACCACCTCCCAAGAGTGCTCACAGGAGGTGGGGGGAAGCCCCAGTCTCCGCACCCCAATGGGGAGGTGAGGAATCGCAGGGTGGGAGGCAGCGCCAGACTCCCCCAAGCACCAATCCCAAGGGCAGAGGTTCTCCAGCCTCGGTCTCCCCTCTGTGGATGCTATGGGCCAGGCTCTGCTGACAATAATGCCAAGGACAAAATGGTGCCTGCGATGGAGAAACTGCGGTGACCCTAACAAGCATGAACCGTCACAGTGGGACTGGACTGCGAGCTCTGCTCCTGTGATTTTCTGGGGAGCAGAATCCACTCCCTGCTTGCTTTTGCAAACACACAGATCTCTTCATAAACCCATGAGCTTCCTCATCTGGAATATAAATACCAGGTCCCCTCACAGTGAACTCCGAGGATTTTGGTGGAAGAGGATTTCTGAGGAAAGCAGAAACATCTAAGAAATTTTGAGGGACGGTCTGGAGTTTCCTGAGGGAAAAGGTTCCCATTCCCCACTCTGCAGTGTAGCTCCTGGGGGGGGAGGGGGAATGAAGGGGGGCTCAGGCTTGAGTGGCCTGCAGAACCCAGGATCACCTAGTCATGTCATCGGCAGAGACCCTGCTTGTCTCGGTCCCCAACAAAGGCAGAGGGTCTTGTCCATCCCCCACAGGCAGAAGGGACCTTGCTTGTCTCCCTCACAGAGAGAGGGGGTCCTGCTTGTCCCCCTCACAGAGGGGACCCTCCTTGGTCCCACCACGGGCAGAGACATGGAGATGTTTCAGGCCTCATGGTCAGCACCTGGGTGGGGACAGAGTCTGGAGGTCCAGTCTTTGGGGTTTTTTATGTAACCTCTTCATCACCTCTTGGAATTTTTTTTCATTCTTGCTGGCTGGGACACCTCACCCTGGCCAATGGTCAACAAGCACTGCAGCCAGAGGCCTTGTTTCATGGTCTTGGAGGACCTGGGCCCTGCGGCCACACCCGATGTCTCTGCAGGGGCAATGCTGGCCCTGGGCCTCAAGAATGCAGGATGGGACGGGGGCACCTTCTGAACAGGGAGATGGCAGAGACAGGGTGGGCAAGAGGCCCACGAAGCTGAGCTGACCCGTGTGCCCACCCTTACCCCCAAGTCCAAGACCTGCCTGGTTCTGTCTGAGCACAGACACTTGCTTCTGCAGGCTGATGTTCTCCTCCTCCAGCTCTGAGTAGTCCTGCAGCAGGCGAGCCTCTCGGAACTTGTACTCCTTGACATCATCCCGCAGGCGGCCACGCTGGATCTCCACGTTCTGGTTGATCTGCCAGAGAGGGAGAAATGGGTGTGAGCAGCCTCTGCGGGGAAATCGGGGGACTCAGTGCAGCCAGGCATGCCGTGGCAGGCCACGCAGCCGGGCCTCTGGACCAAACCTGCAGGTGCCAGTGTGGCCGCCTGGAGGGGAGATGGGGGCAAGGGTGGTGTGGTGTGCAGGGGCGCAGAGGTCCTCAAGTCAGAACCCCTCAGCCCTTCTCAGCTGAGGAACCCCTGGCAAGTGCTGCAGCCTGCTCTGACCCTGGGTTTCTTAATCTGTAAAACAGGGTTAAAAGCAGTTCCTGCTGGGTGTGGCAGCTCACACCTGTAATCCCAGCACTTTGGGAGGCTGAGGCGAGAGGATTGCCTGAGCCCAAGGGTTCAAGACCAGCCTGGGTAACTTGGCGAGACACTGTCTCTACCATAAATAAAAAAAGTAGCCTGGCGTGGTGGTGCATGCCTGTGGTTCCAACTACTTAGAAGGCTGATATGGAAGGATCGCCTGAGCCCAGGAGGTCAAAGTCGCAGTGGCTACAAAAATGCAGCTGCACTCCAGCCTGGGCAACAGAGTGAGAGACTCTCACTCAAAAAAAGAAAAAAAAGAAAAAAGAAAGCAGTTCCTCCCTTCTCACCTGCTGGAGGGCATGTAAATGGCACAGCACTGTGGCCAACAGCTTGCAGATGCTCAGTGAAAGAGCATCCACCCCCCAGAGAAAGGAGCACGCGTCACACAGAAACCTGCACATGAATGTTCATGGAAGCAGCCCAAGTGTCCACAGACAGATGAACAAATAAGCAAAGTGTGGGCTCTCCATACAATGGTAGATCATTCGGCCGTAATGAGGAATGACATACTGACATGCTACAACATGAAAGAACCTTGAAAACATACTGCTGAGTTTTCGAAAGAGGCCAGTCACAAGAGGCCGTTAATCATATAATCCCATTTATATGACACGTTCAGAATAGGTAAATTCATAGAAACAGAAAGTAGGTTAGTGGTAACGGGCTTCCTTTCTGGAGTGATGGACTGTTCTAAAATTGCTTGTGGGATGGTACACCTATATGTGAATGTGCTAAAAACTATGGAATTGTATACTTTAAGTAGGTGAACTGAACAGCACATGAATTATCTCAATAAAGCTGTTACAGTTCCTGCCTATGTAATCTGTGAGGAGGCATCAAGAGCTAGCCATGGGAGAGAGGCCACTGCAGGGCCACAGCCCTGGACACTCAGGACTAGACCTCTCTCTGCGGCAGGAGTCACCTGTAGGAGATTCAGCAGCTCCCTGACTTCTACCCACCTGACATCACCCTCTCCCACACTGCCACAACCGAAAATGTCCCCAGACACTGCCAAGGTCCCCCTTAGGGCAAAGTCATCTCCTAAACAAACCCTCTATCCCCTCCCCCTCCCCTGCCCCCTTCCTGTCCCCATCCTCACTGCCTGAGCCACCTCCCTGTGTGTCTGCAAGGTCTGGCTCCCCAGGCCAGCGCCACCCCTATGCTAAAGCCCTCTCAGACCCTTGGCCAGAAGCCCTGGCCACCCTTTGGGTCCCACAGCTCTGCCCACCCTTTCCACTGCTTATGCTAGGGTTCCTTCTGGTCACACTCATGTCCTTCTCTGAATGGAACATGCTTTTCAGACGACAGCCAAATATCCCATTCAGATACACAAAAAGCAGTTGTAGCTGGGTTTGGTGGCTCAGCCTATAATCCCGCGCCTTTGGGAGGCTGAGGTGAGTGGACTGCCTCAGCCCACAGGTTCGAGACCCGCCTGGGCAGGCAAGACCTCATCTCTGCAATAAATCAAAACAAAAAACAAAAAAAAACTAGCCAGGCGTGGTAGCGCGCGCCTGTAGTTCCGGCTACTTGGAAGGCTGAGGCGGAAGGATCGCCGGAGCCCAGCAGGTCGAGGCTGCGGTGGCTGGGAGCGGCCACTGCACTCCAATCTGGGCGACAGAGTGAGACTCCCACTCAAAAAAAAAAAAAAGCAGTCGTGTGGGATTAGCAAAATGAAACAGAACCCAAAAAAGGACAAAATGGGGGCAAGGAGAGGGAAGACAGCACAATATCCGGCAAGCCCTGCTGACAAATGCTGCTGAGGAAGACTGTATTTAAAATCTATAACAAATGGACAGATACAACCCTTGCAGTAAGCGACTCAAGGAGGTGACAGAACTAGCACCTGAAGAAACAGATACCACACGAGGAGGAAGAAAAGGCCACACAGGCTAGCAAGCCTCACGCCAGAGGTGAAAGCAAGTGAGGTGCATGCTGGGACGGCAGGAGAGAAAACAGCATCACCACAGCCACCCTGGGCCAGGCTCCAGAGGACCCTGTGACCACGCTGGGGGCTGCCACGCAAGCCAACTCACCCACTCCCCACACTCTTGTGGGCCTCGAGTACCTCTCTGCCAAGGGCTTCCCCAATTCCCGCTCTTTCCTTACTAACTTGCAAGCACTTGGCATGCAACAGGTGTTTAAACACATGCTGCGTGACTCGACTCTACCCACTGGCTCCTCAGGTGGGGTGGAAGCTGAGGGGAAGATCTGAGTCCCACCAGCTCCCTCACATCTGAATGTCAGCACAAACAAACTTAGAAGGCTCTCTAGGCCATGGGAAGAGAAGTACCAGAAGCTTCCATGTGCCTGGGGCAGATAGTGACATGCACACCTGAAAACTGAGGCAGAAGGCCAGGCTGGGTGCCTGATAGCACCTGGGTCTCCCAGAGGCACACAGGAGACTTCTGTTCCTTTGGCGGTGCCTGTGTAAGCCCTCAGGGCCCTCTGCCAGCCTGGCCCAGCAAGAGGCACCGGCAGTTACGCTTGTACCACTGCCAGGCCCAGAATACAGAGAGGCACACCCAGATCAAACACTGGCATGGCCACACAACACAGCAGGTGAGGAAACCCTCTCTGCTGACACTGCAGGACCCAAATACCTGCACTGCAGTTCCCATGGCAACCATGCTTCCACGCCTACCCCCAGGAGGAGTGGGCAGCCAGGCTCAGCTGGCCTGCCATCTAGCACCTCCATCCAGCAATGCCCAACTGCCAAGGGCTTAACCAGGCTCTGACTGGTCATCACGGGGTTTAGTTTTCCCTCTAGTAAACACCTCTCAGTGAGCTTGTCGGACGCCAGCCCTGAAGAGCACGAGGAACAAGCTGTTACGTGTGGACAGACAGCCCAGACACGGGAGGTGGGTGCACAGGCTTGACGTCGACCACCTGGAATCCCATCTCAGCTCCCCATCCTCAGGAACCCCAGATCTCAGACTACTTATTGGCAAGGAGGGTGCGACAGTTACCTGCCTCGATGCGCTGCTGTGCAGGGGGGCTGGCTACCCTCCCTCCTGTTCACAGGACACTCTCATCTTTGCCTGGACGGCGTGGGGCAGCCTTCCTGGGGCAAATCCAAGGAAACACCAAGGTACATGTGTAGGACCCAGCTCTGTCCAGCCGGCCTGAGGCTCTCTGGGCCTCTGAGTATACACCTGGAAAACTGGCCATTCCCTGCCAAGGCCCCTCCAGGCCAGTACTCAGAAGCTTGCCTACCTGCCAGGGGCCCATGGCCCCACAGAAAGAACTCCAGCAGGAGAGAAGCTGGCAGGACCTGTCTACAGGTGGGTCCCACACACGGCACAGAGGTCAGAGGTCAGGACCCCAGAGCTGCTCCACTGCCTGCCGGTCGAGTGACCTCAGGCATACAAGGGAACCTTCCCAACCTGTTTCCTTACATGTGATTACTGATAGGGCAATCAACGGACCAGGTCTGAGGCCTCAGAATCAACTGACACACACTGAGCACGTATGTTATCCTAAAACCTCACAGGTCATTAAGGAGGTGTTGGGCCCTGGAGGAAGACAGACACGCTAACTAGATGTCACAGAGAACGAAAAACAGGAAGGGGCTGCCCAGGCAGCAGGTGGTGGGCCAAAGAACACAACGCAGCCTGCCGCATCACCGAACGCACCCTCTCCAAGCCATGGGATGTGATGTGAGTCTTGGCCAGTGAGGAGGACGGCTACTCCAGGGGCCAGGGAGGGGCTCAGCACAGCAGCTCAGGCTAGGAAGTGTCACCCAGGCAGGACGGCAGGCAGGAAGGACAGGAGCTTGGGTGCAGCTGGGTCTGGCGGTGGGTAAGATCGGATTAAACCTAGAGATGTGGGCAGTGGAGCCTTTGAGGCACATGGGGCAAAGACCTGGGACGGTTTCTATGGTTTCGCCACAAACCGGGAAGGAGGAACACAGGTGTGGGGGACATGGTGGGCCTGAGGCTCGAGGTGGGGACCTCAGGAGAAAGAGAGGGCTCGGGGTGTGCAGGGAAAGTCAGGATTTCCTCCTGCCTCACAAACAGGAAAAGCAGGAATCCTCCCTCTCTCCCTACAAGGCCTGCAGCGTGTAGACCTCACTGTATTCGTTTCCAGCCATGGGTCCCACCTGAAGCCAGCAGGGTCGCCCAGCCCTCTTCTGGTCTCTGCCACCACAGAAAGGCCCTTTGGAAGAGAGAAGGGGTCGTGGAACATGCCAGGCTGTGGGGAGAGCACCTGCATGGGCTTTTCAGGAGAAGAGGCCAGACGGTCAGGTGGCAGCCAGGGCAGCTGAGGCTACACCGCGCGTCGGCGACAGCCTTCCTCCCACTCAGACCCGAGCAATCCTTGTGGGAGGAAATGAGATCACGCATTTCCGCTCCAGGATCTGAGGCTGTTCACCCTGAGTCCAAGCCAAGCTCCTCCCGACTCCTGGACCTCAGCCGCCCAACCCCCCAAACCAGGGAAGGCGACTGCTCCCTACTGCACCAGCCTCCGGGGCAGCATCCCTCAGACCTAGTACGCTGGGCTAACAGCTGCGAGCTCCGAGGGGCCCTGACCGCCGCACACCCTCCTGACCTCCCTGTAAGGACATCTGCTGCAGAGGGTGGGGCTCCCGTGGCCAGAACAAGGGCCCACAGGAGACCTGAGGATGGGGGATGAAGGAGCTGTAGAGCATTTCCTACGAGCAGCTTTGAAGGCTGCGTTTACAGACGGGGAAGCTGAGACCAGGGATGAAGACAAGCCCTTGCCCAGAGCTTGAGGCTCAGCGAGAGGCAAAGCCAGCGCCAGCTCCTTCCCATCTATCCCATGCCTTGCCCCTCAGCCGCTCCTGGTGAGAACCTGGGGGCTGAACCCAAGTCCGGGTGGACCACGGACAGGACCGCAGCTCACGTGCTGGCTCACGGCTCCTCTCGCTGTCTCCAGGAGTTGCCCCACCCACCTTCATGCAGCGGGCGGCCTCTTCCTGAGGGCACTGGCCTCCAGCTTCCCCACCAGACCTCCCAGCTGTCCCCACCACCCACTTCCCGTGGAGCCACCAAACCCAAGCCGGGCCCTGCCTCTTTCAGGGCCCTGAACGAGGCCCGCGGGACTCTCCTTCGATACCTCTCCCCGTCCCTGATGAGGCTCCCTGTGGACTCGCCCCTACCCAGGGATGCGGCACAGCGTGTGGCTCTCTGCCCACACCTGCCTCACGAGAAAGGCCCTTTGGAAGAGGAGAATGAGGCTTCCAGAACAGAGCCAGCACAGAGTGACGCCAAAGAGCCCACCTGAACACATGAGAGTCACAGGCACGGACACCCAGCGTTCACTTGTCTCCCCTCAGCCCCTGCCCAGAGCCAGCAAGGCTTCCTGCCACCCGAGGGACAGGCACTCCAGGCTCTCCTGCTGAACTCACCCTGCATGGGCCTCCCGCCCTGCAGCAACCTTCCCAGGTCCTGCTTTGCCCGCACTGCTCCCCGGGCCCCCAGGGCCTCCAGGACTCTGGGCCCTGAGCTTCGAGCAGCTGGTCCTGGCCTTCGGCCCATCAGAGCCAAGAGCTGAACTTGTCCCTCCTGACTTCTTGCTCATGAGCTCATGGTGGACACCACAGTCCTGTGTCCAGAAGTGGGGCCTGTGGACAGTCACAGATGCTCCTGGGGGCCCAGGACTCTCACAGGCGCCAGAGACCACCTGCCCAGCCCTCCCTGGCAAGCTCCCTGCTATGCACACGAGGCTGGGGTGTGGTAACTGGGATGACAGGCAGTGGCCTTTGCACCTAACTCTCAGATACACACATCCGGCCTCGAGCCCCCATGGAGCATTCAAGTCCGTGCTCTCACCCACAGGGGACACAACGTAAGCCCCAAGTAGCACAAACATCCCCTGAGCAGCAATGGGGGGGGTGCCCATGACCATCCGTCCTCAGCCTCCACGAGGAGCCACCTTGCCCCACGTCCCACCAACCCCTCCCTGCTGTGGGCTTGCTCACAGGACTCACTTCCCCAGGAGGACAGAAGCCAGTCAGATGTGGCGGAATGCATGGGTCCACCTCTGTCTTCTGCCCTGCAGGCTGTAGAGGACAAGACAGCCACTGGGCTGCAGCCTCCCCGGAGCCAGACCCGCTCGGTCTGGCTGCCCCCGGCACACGGGCAGGCACATCTGCGGGGCGGCGCTGTCCCCATGGCAGACAAGGGCCTTCCTCGCCCACTCACCTCCTTCAGCTCCTGGGCCACCGAGGCGAGGCGTTCGTTCTCTGACTGTGTGTTGGTGAGCACGTTGCGCAACTGCTTCAGCTCCGTCTGCAGCTCCAGCACCTTCCGCACATAGTACTGCTCCTTGGAGGCAGACTCCTGGATAAGGCTCTCCTCCCGGCTCTCGCCGTCTGCAGCCACCTTCTTGTGGTTCGTGTGTGCCTGTCCAAAGGCCTGCCTCAGGAGATAAGACACGCGTGAGAGGGGCCTCCCAGGGCTGCTGAGTGATAGAAGCCCAAGCTACCAGCTACACTCATCTCAGCCAACACGCGTTGAGCTGCACCCGAGCTTGGCCTGCTTCACAGTAATAAAAGCAAGCCCAGCGTTCTAAGAGCAGGGTGCAAGATGGTAAGACTGAATGCTTACCATAGGTCAGGGTGCCACGGTAGGCGCGTGTGACAGCAGCTAGAGGCCAAGGGAGGGAGCTCCCACATAGCCCCCACCTCCTTCCCTCTCCAGATGGGGAAATCAAAGCTCAGGATGTGCTTGAGGACGGTCCCCACACCCTCCTGAGGGCACTGGCTTCTCTCTCCCCACCAACCTCTTGGCTCCACTTCTGTCCCCTTGGCTCATTCCCCGTGCAGCCACCAAACCCAAGTTGGACGCTGTGTGACCAAGGCCTGCAGGACCATCCTGCTGCCTGATGCTGACCCATCCTTCACTCTTCCTGGGAGAGACCTAGGCTGAGCAGGACCGTTTCTAACCTCAACCTATCAAAACACAGAGAGCAACGCATTTCCCTTTTGAGAGGTGACTGGCAAAAGAAACCAAAGTCTGGACTGAGTAGAAACCAAAGTCTGGGGTCTCACAGGGACAACAGGGGAGTCAAGGGAAGGCACTTCAAGGATCCTGCCTGGAAGAGCATGTGCATGCTGCAGCACGTGTGACGATGTGTGACACAACATGCGCTGCAGGGCCTGTTCAGTGACATGCATGTCACAGCGTGTGATGACATGCATCTCTCATCCTGCTGTGCATGTCTCATGGTGCTGCCGGGGACGCCCTTACACGAGGCCAGTGCCATCACTAGGACTGCGTGTGGGACCGAGGACTCAGGCCAACACTCCATTGCAGAGGCACAGACGCTTAAGGCACCTGTGCTCCCCGGGAGGCCCAGGTCTAGCACATCTGCCCCACACACGTGCAAGTCTGTGAAGATACTAAAAACCACTGGACAGTTCATTTTAAGTAGGAGAATTGCACAGTGTGTGAGATTATATAAAGAAATAAAACTGCTTAAAAAAGTTAAAAAGCATGAAAAGCGATAAACCATGCTAACACTAATCAAGGGAAAGCTAGCTGACTCTTTTTTTTTTTTTTTTTTTTTTTTGAGTCGGAGTCTCACTCTGTCGCCCAGACCGGAGTGCAACGGCCGCTCCCGGCCACCGCAGCCTCGACCTGCTGGGCTCCAGCGATCCTTCCGCCTCAGCCTTCCCAGTAGCCGGAATTACAGGCATGCGCTACCACGCCCGGCTGATTTTTTGATTTATTGTAGAGATGAGGTCTCGCTGCCCAGGCGGGTCTCGAACCCGCGGGCTCGGGCAATCCACTCACCTCAGCCTCCCAAAGGCGCGGGATTACAGGCTGAGCCACCGAGCCCGGCTGCTAGCTGACTCTTATTAATATCAGAGGAAGTAGATTTCACAGCAAAGAATATTTACCAGAGATAAAGAGGGTCTTTTCAGAATAAGGGGCCAATTCACAAAGAGATCATAATCTTAAATATTTATACACCTAATGACAAAGCTTCAAAATATATGAAACAAAATCTGACAGAACTGCAAGGAGAAATAGGCAATGCTAAAATTATAGTTAGGACATTCAAGTGAGTTTAGCTATATTGTAAGATACAAGATCAATATAAAAAATCAAAAAGTAAAATTTTAAACAAATTGCATCAAAAATATTAAATACTTATGCTTAACTTGACAGAAGACTTGCAAGACCTACACACTCAAACACACAAAACACTGCTGAGAGAAACCGACAAATGAAATAAATGGAGAGTCCCATTTTGCTCACAGGCTTGGATACTCAATGCTGTTAAGGAGTCGGTTTTCCACAGGTAGATCTATCCACTCATCACAGAGTCCAGCAAAATCCCTGCAGATGTGTTTTTAATAGAAATTGACATGTTTCTAAAAGTCACATGGAAATTCAAAGGACTCAGAACAGCCAGAAAGAAGCAGGAGGACTACCCTACCCGACTTCGATACTTATTATACAACTACTATAATCAAGAGGCATAAAGGTCAAAAAACAGATCTACTGAACAGACACTTAAGAATGGTCAATTAAGCCGGGCTCGGTGGCTCCGCCTGTCATCCCGCACCTTGGGAGGCTGAGGTGAGTGGATGGCCTGAGCCCGCAGGTTCGAGACCCGCCTGGGCAGCGAGACCTCATCTCTGCAATAAATCAAAAAATCAGCCGGGCGTGGTAGCGCATGTCTGTAATTCCGGCCACTCGGAAGGCTGAGGCGGAAGGATCACCGGAGCCCAGCAGGTTGAGGCTGTGGTGGCTGGGAGTGGCCACTGCACTCCCGTCTGGGCGACGGTGTGAGACTCCAAATCAAAAAAAAAAAAAAAAAATAGTCAATTAATTTTACAAAGGCAACTAAGTGGCAAAAGGATAATCTTTTAGCAAATGGTGCTCAAATCCATAACTATCCATGGGCAAAAATGAACTCGATCTATACCTCACACCATATATGAAAATTAATTCAAAATGGATCATAGGCTGAAATATTAAAAGTATAAAACTCCCAGGAGAGCCGGGCTCGGTGGTTCCGCCTGTAATCCTGTGCCTTTGGGAGGCTGAGGTGAGTGGATTGCCTGAGCCCGCGGGTTCGAGACCTGCCTGGGCAGTGAGACCTCATCTCTACAATAAATCAAAAAATCAGCCGGGCATGGTAGCGCATGCCTGTAGTTCCGGCTACTCGGAAGGCTGAGGCGGAAGGATCACCGGAGCCCAGCAGGTCGAGGTTGCAGTGACCAGGAGCGGCCACTGCACTCCCGTCTGGGTGACAGAGTGAGACTCCAACTCAAAAAAAAAAACAAAAAAAACTCCCAGGAGAAAAAGTTTGTTCACTTGGACATGATCCATAATTTGATGAACTGGCCTTCAAAATAAAAAAATTACACTGTTTGAAAGTCATGCGAATGCAAAACCAAGTCACAGACTGGGAGATAAACTTAGCAAATTACATATCTGATAAAGGAATTGTCACCGGAATATACTCTCAAACTTGGTAGAAAAATGACCCAATAAAAAACAGACAAAAGAATTGAACAGGTACTTCACCCAAGAAGATATATGCATAGAAAGACGTATATGAAAAGATGCTTAACATCATTAGTCACTAGGGAAATGCAAATTACAACTACAGTGAGATACGTGTTTAAAATTAAAATGATCAGTCCTGACAAGTGTTGGCACAGGCGTGGAGCAACTGGAATTCTCATATGCCACCGCAGAAAGTGGAAAAGCACAACTACTTTGGAAAAAACTGACATTTATCTAATGCATGGCATAGTCATCCTCTCCTAGGTACTTACCCAAGAGAAATGCAAGCATATGTCCACAGACTTGCACAAGAATGTGTATATTTGTAATAGCCAAAACAAACTCAAAGCAACCAAATAACCATCAATAGGAAAATAACTTTTTTTGTTGTTTGAGTTGGAGTCTCACTCCATCGCCCAGGCTGGAGTGCAGTGGCACACTCACGGCCACTCCTGCGTCGACCTGCTGGGCTCTGTCGATCTTTCCACCTCAGCCTTCCAAGTAGCAGGAACTACAGACACATGCTACTGTATCCGGCTAATTTATTTATTTATTTATTGTAGAGACAATGTCTCGCCAAGTATCCTAGGCTGGGTTGGTCTTGAACCCACAGGCTTAGGCAATCCACTCGTCTTGGCCTCCCAAAATGCTGGGATGACAGGCTGAGCCACCGAGCCTGGCCAGAATTTTATCCAAGTATAGTACATACATACAAGGGAATATTATTCAGCAATAAAAAGGAATCAACTACTGATACACATATTAACATGAATACATCTCAAAATTATCTTGGTGGGAAGCCAGACCAATAAAACAGCACATACTAATTCCATTTATATAAAACTCTAGAAAAAGCAAATGAATCTATATCATGGTTCCCTGAGGGTGGGGAGAGAGCAGGTATTACAAATGGGAATGAGGAAACACGAGGGGAGACATGCTCATGACCTATGGCTATGCTGATAGTCTCACAGGCATATAAACAAACTCTTAAATGGAATACTTTAAATATATGCAGTTTACTGTAAAGCCATTCAGGAAAACAGCTCAGGTCCTTTTTAAACATCATGCCACCAACCTGGAGAGTGTGGATCCACGAGACAGAGAGCCCGTCCCTGTGGTTACTGTCTCCAGCCTAAGGGCCAGGAGGCTGAGGGTCAGAGAAGTAGAGATAGTGCCCTCCTGGTCACTCAGCCGGTCTACCTGAACTTCTTCTGACCAAAACACCCTCAACCTCGCCTTGCAAAATCCTGTGTAGCCTCGCAAGTCTATTCCAAAACCTGCCTCCTACGGGATACCCGCGGTCACTCTTTTCTCCTTCTCCTCTCCCTGGCCATTGGTCCCCTTTTGTCCCCTCCCCAGGAAGCACCCGAGAAGCAGTGTTCACCATCTGACTCGGGGGTTGTCAGCTGTGGACTTGCTGCTCTTGCAGCTTGCCCTGTCACCCTGGACCTCCCAGGCCGGCGCCCTGTGGAGACCCCTGCCCGCTCGCAGGAGGGTGCTCTGCCCACCCTAACACTGGGATCCAGCCTGGGAACAGGACTCCAGATGTGACTCCACCCCACCCCAGCCACTCTGGGAAGAGGGGGACAGAAAGGCAGAGGGCCCGAGCGCCTATCCTTCTGGACCAAAGGCACACTCATCTGGGCTCTGAGGAGAGGGCGGCGGTTTGATGGCCCCCAGAAGCTACCCTGGCTGTGGTGGACAATGTGCTCGACGCAGGCTCCCAGCCCACGCCCTGCCCACCAGTCTAGGCCTGGCAGGACCCAACACAGCTGGTGAGCCCAGGCATGTGGTCCTCACCAGCCAGGCGCCTTGGGGAGGATCCTTGCCGGCCAACACACGGCCCTCAGGAATGCTGGCTGCGAGTTTAGCCACACCCATGAGTTTAGCCACACCCATGTGGACTCAGCTTAACTATCTGTGCCGATGGGGAACCAGGGCCAGACACAGACAGGAGGGAGGTTAGGTCCTCCCTCAGGGGCAAGGCCTCGGGTAGGCTGTGGAACACCAGACCAGGATTGCTTCCTCAGGAGGGGACAACAGAGGACAAACCGCCCACGAAGGAGGAAGATGGAGGGGCTCCAGGTGTCCTGGGGAGGCGGGTTTGGAATGGATTCGCGAGGCTGCACAGGAGTGTTTGAGTGGGGCTGAGGGTGTCCTGGTGAGAAGAAATTCAGACAGATGGCTGAGTGATAGGGTTTCAAAACCAAATGTGGTGGGAAGGGAAGCCTCAGTTAGTAGCTCCATGGGGGCACCCTGCACATACTCATACTCTGCACACACAGAAACACAGAAACTGAGGCACAACAGAGCTCGGTACCTTGCCAAGGGCGCACAGTCTGCCTGACAAGACAGGGCCTCAGATGGAAGACGGCCGCCAGATCACATCCAAGCGGTAAGCTCAGTGCTCATCTCCAGGAGACGGATGCAGCAGGCAGGCCAGGCCCCAGGTCCGCTGGCCAGCGTGAATCCATCAGTGCCCACCACCCCGTCGCAGGGAAGCGCAGTCAACATCCCCTGCTACTCTGGAGGTCCGCCTCTGAAACAGGCTGTGACAGCACGGCTGGGTGACCACAGCGGGCCCCAATCACAGTGTGTCTCTATTTCCTCATCTGTAGCCTGGGTTAGTAACGTCACCAATGTGAGCCCATCGCTGTGAGGCTTTAGTCAGTTAACCCAATCACTCAGGACATGGTCAAGGCTCTCGTCACGGGACCAGAGTTAACATGCTGAGACCCAGAGGACCCCAGGAAAGGGGCGGCGCAGGGGAGGCTGAGTGGCTTCAGAAGGAGCCCACACCAGATACCTAGGCTGTCCCCTCTCCCCCCCTGCCCCCATCAGAGGCCAACACTCAGGAAAAGGCGGTAGCACCGTGAAGGAGTGTCAAGCCCAGCAAGGGGCTCCCTGGGCTGCAGAAGCAGCATCTTTCTGGCTTTGAGACTCCGCTGCTAAGATGGGACGTCATTCGTCATCTGACGGCTGTGTTCCAAAAAAGCTTTGCTGCCAAAAATCAGGCTGTGGGCACCCGAATGGCCCACACGAGGCGGTCTGCTGATCCCTGGCCGGGGCAGCAGTCCGCATGCTCTCACGAACCAAGCACCAGCAAAGCTCCCTGTTGTTCCCTGGGAAAGTGTGACTTTCCACCGATCAGTATAGAAAAACGTTAAGTATGTACCGGAAGGGCTGCATCCCTGACCACGCCTAGCGCAGAAGCAGCAGCAGAGGCAGTGATCACAGCCCAGGAGGATGGGAAGGTGTTCCACGTGGAAGGAACAGCAAGCAGGGGGCAGGACAGGCAGGGCTAGAAGGAGCTCAAGGTCCTTACACCAAGGACCCTGTGGCCTGGGACAAGAGCCCCTTCCGCTCATCTGAGCCAGGCAGACAACCAGCCTCGCCAAGGCACTCCATGCAGAAGGCACCTGCTGCCCTTCCCGGCGGCACAGCCAGTGTGTGTTCAACTGCAGTCAGGCTGTCTGGGCCCGTATCCTGGCTCTACCTCTGGCCAGCTGTGACTCGGGCGAGGCCCTCCCCTCACTGTGTCTGTCTGTAAACTGTAGCACGGGCCACATTTCCGTGATTAGGTGCACGAGAGCCCACCCCAGTGCCGAGCAACGTGGCACTAGGACAGGGTCACCTGTACCAGCCATTTGTGAGCAGTGACAGGGCTTGAAGAGCAACCCTCAGCCGGTGCCTGCCCCTCCTATCTGCTACGGGGTGGGTCAGTCCCTGCTGGCCCCCTCCCAAGGCCACATGCTGACTCTAAAGTGGCCTTGAGGTCCGTCTGCACATGAGAGATGTCCGCTCTGGAGTCAGCCAGTGGGGCCTGGCTTGGGGACGACAGAGGACAGTTGCCTCACCTACACAGGACAGTCGCCTCAGGAGAGCAATGTGGACTCTCCATCATGAGCGTCAGCTGTCAGTCCTAGCTCTAAAAGTGAACTCTTCAGTCTGTGGACAAGCCTTCTAGAGCCTGGAAACAGGTCTGCATCAGAGACTGAAAGAGAGCCAGGCCTGTGAGAACCAGTCCCTTTGCTGACCTTCCACAGGGCCTGGCTTCCTGGAACACCAACAGGGCAGGGAAGCAGGCAGCCAGGCAGGGCTGTCCCAGGGAATTCCCTTTCTTCCTAAACCAGTCTGGCCACCTGATGCAGCAGGCACAACACCGGCCACGCCAGGATAGCCCGCTCAGCATTCCAGTGAGGACACAGTTTCTACCACAGAGCTGGGATCCTTAATTCCTTCTTCTGGGCTGATCCAGCTCCGCCCACCACAGCCAGCTGGTCCCACACTGGTCCTTGAAGGGCCACAATGGCGACATCAGGGTGGGCTCAGCTTTCTGGGAATGGCTGGGCCTGGGTTTCCAGGCATGCTGGCTCGTCTGCCTCGGCCAGGCCTTCCCATCCCTGCTAAGGCAAAAGACGCTGCTGCCCAGCTCTGGAGAAAGGTCTGTGAATGCCCCCTGGCTAGCACCCCTCTTTCCACCCAGACTTGCTGGGAAACCCCAGGGGTTGGCTTCAGCGTGCCCTCAACCTCTGCCAGCAGCACGCAGCACTTCCCGCCTGCCGGGCCGCTGGCGGGAGCGGGTGACACAGGGACGGCAGACACTGTCCGGCCAGCTGAGAAGACCCCCGAGTCTCGAATCCTGGGGAATCACAGAGGGATCAGACTCTCCCGATCACCGTCAGGCCCGGGCTTCGCCATGGCCCCAACACAGTGAGGAGCCCCAGGCACCACAGCACCGGCCCCCCCACTGTTCCCAGGAGGCGTCCCTGCAGAGCCAGGCCCCTGAGGGCAGAGGGGCGCGGCCTCCGGAGCAAGGCCCCTCCCTGCCCCACCCCCGCCGCAGCCGCACGGCTTGTGCGGGGCAAGGAGGCGGGGGCAGCCGCTGGCCGCCTTCGCGGTCATGCTCGGCCAATGCCGACCGCTGGGCTCCTCCCCGAAAGCTGCCGGTGCCAGCCCACCGCTTCAGCACTCGCGGGCGTCGGAGGAAGTCGGCGGTCCGAGGCCGGAAGGAGCGGGAGGCGGCGTGCCGCGAGCCTCGACTCCTCGCTGGCTCCGGGCGCTCCAAGCACGCCGTCCGCAGAAGCCGGCTCCACGGGAGGCCCATGGCGCCGAGCCTGCTGAGTTCAAGAGGGTGCTCGGCCTGTAAGCCGACATAAATACCAACTCCAGACGCTGCTGAGATAAAGGGCTTGTGGAATTCGATCAAACTCACGGCCAGAGGTTAATGACATCAATCGTGATCTAGGAAAGCGGCAGCGAGGCAGAGTGAGAGACGGGGCTGGGCAGCAGCCAGCAAAGCGCACTGGCAGGGGCGGAGGACGCGGCAGCAGGACCAAGGGCACAGCCTTTTCAAGACAGACCTTCCCCAGGAAATGGTATCACCAGAGGACGCGGAATGACCACACAGCAATCCAAGAAAGGAAGAAACTCCAAGTGCGCGCACCACGGGAGAACAAAAAGCCCCAATATTCCAAAAGTTTTCCATAAATCTAAAACTGTTTCAGAAAACAAAAGTCACGAGAAAACGTTAGCATGCACGAAGCGCATGAAAACTAAAAAACGATCACTTAAATAATAATCTGTATCAGAGAGGGCGTATAGAACAACAGGAATCCAAACAAACAAAAAACAGAAACATCGTATCAAAATGTTGGGATCACTGCCAAAGCAGTAGAGTACTGGGGGTGGGGGAGGGGGGTGGACTGCCCTAAAAATAAACGTTAATGATAAAAAGAAACAAACAGTCTCTCTACACCAGGATTTCAGAAGCTGAAGGAAGCAACAAGACAAAAGTCTTATAAGGGGAAGTGACACAACAAAAACCCACCAACAAAAGGAAAAAACAAAGCAACTATGTTAGTGCACTGTTTTAACCTGCTAATGACTGTATTTGGGCGGATAAATTTGTGCAAAGTACATACCCCTAAACCAGGCAGCTGGGCACTAACTAGTCCGTCCAGTCCCCACAAGCAACATGCGGAGACACCACCACATCACTGTCTCCACCCACAGCCCCAGGCAAGACAAGCATCAACCCTGGCAGGCTGGTCTCTCAGCAGAGCTGAGGAATGTATGTCCAGAAAGTAGCTCTAGAGCCATGTGGCAGAGCAGGAATCAAACCCACATCTAGCCCCTTTCCACATCCCTGTTCGTTCAAACAAAGAACAAGAAGGAAGAAAGAAAGTGGAGGGAGGAGAGAGGTGCATTACAAACTCAAGGAAATGTTCAATGGGTATATACAACAGGCTCATTTGCTGATCTCAACAGATCTTCCCTTTAAAGGGGTAGGGACTCCAGGCTCGGCCGTGGTAGCTCAAGCCTATAATCCTAGCACTTTGGGAGGCCGAGGTGGGAGGACTGACTGAGCCCATGGGTTCAAGATCAGCCTGGGCAACTTGGTGAGACCCCCATCTCTACAATAAATCAAAGAATTAGCCGGGTGTGGTGGCGTGTGCCTGTAGTTACAGCTACTTGGAAGGCTGAGGTGGAAGGATCGCCTGAGCCCAGCAGGTGGAGGCTGCAGTGGCCAGGAGGGTGCCACTGCCCTCCAGCCTGGGTGACAGAGTGAGATTCCTACTCAAAAAAAAAAAGCCAGGCTTGGTGGCTCAGCCTGTAATCCCACACCTTTGGGAGGCTGAGGTGAGTGGATTGCCTGAGTCCGCGGGTTCGAAACCCACCTGGGCAGCAAGACCTCATCTCTACAATAAATCAAAAAATCAGCTGGGCATGGTAGCGCATGCCTGTAATTCCGGCTACTTGGAAGGTTGAGGCGGAAGGATCACCGGAGCCCAGCAGGTCGAGGCTGCGGTGGCCGGGAGCGGCCACTGCACTCCAGTCTGGGCGACAGAGTGAGACTCCAACTCAAAAAAAAAAAAAAAAGAATTATTCGCTGTGATCAGAAGACCTTGCTCAGGAACACAAAACCAGGGTAAACCAATTCAACTTTAAAAAATCTATACTCAGCATCTGCCATGTAATAGGATAGGCCAACAAGGATAATAAGTCATATAGTATGTCAGAAGGTGAACTACCAACATTTCTGCCATAGATAAACTAATGTGTCAAAAGTAAAACTGCCATCGACACTAAGATTAAGATGCTTGCACTATAATTTAATCTAAGCTCTTCTCAACTGAAGTTCTCAGAAAATGAAGAGCTTTTTCTTTCTTAATGTCATAAAAAGAACATCAGCCTAGACAGATTTAAAACAAGAGCAAACAACAAATAACAGAATGCACTCATACACAATGGGGAAGCACTGGCAAAGGAAAATGTACCTGAGTTACCCTCTCCCCCTCAACGGACGAAGCACGAGCACCATCTCACCACACTGAAAAAGAGAACAAGGGAAACAAAAAAGAAGGGAACCCAAGAAAGGATAAAGTAAGTCCATATTTTTTGTGGGTGATGATTCTGTCTAAAAAACTCACAAAGAAACACCCCAAAAAGATCATTTAGAAATTTCAGATACACCAAGATACCCACAAAATTCCCTCAATTAAGTTGTTAGGTCAGGAATACATAAGAAAAAGAGCAATGACATTTACAACATTGACCTAAAAAAAACTAACCCCACATATAATTTAACTAGACACATGAGACTCAGTCAAAGAAAATTATAAATCTACTAACGAGAACAGCTAAGTCTAAGCAGGAAGGTACGATTATACCTTGAGCTGTCATGTGGAGTTCGTGTGATATGGGTACCACAGTACAGACCTGGAAGGAAACTGCCTCAAATCCTTCGGGAACTACTTCAGAGGAACAGTGAAATTTTTTTTTTTTTTTGAGTCGGAGTCTCACTCTGTCGCCCAGGCTGGAGTGCAGTGGCACGCTCCCGGCCACCACAGCCTCAGTCTGCTGGGCTCAGACAATCCTTTGGCCTCAGGTTAATTTTTTTATTTATTGTAGAGATGTCTCACCAAGTTGCCCAGGCTGGTCTTGAACTTGTGGGCTCAGGCAATCCTCTCACCTCGTTCTCCCAAAGTGCTGGGATTATAGGCATGAGCCACCGTGCCTGGCTAAGAGTGAAATTTATCTCTAAGATTTAGCAAACAAGAGGACTCTACCAACCTGCGTTAGAATTTTTTGAAAAGATATAACCCACATATCATAATACTCTTTTAAAGTATGCCATTCGGCCAGGCTCGGTGGCTCAGTGTGTAATCCCGCGCCTTTGGGAGGCTGAGGTGAGTGGATTGCCTGAGCCCACGGGTTCGAGACCCGCCTGGGCAGCGAGACCTCATCTCTACAATAAATAAAAAAAAATCAGCTGGGCGTGGTAGCGCATGCCTGTAGTTCCAGGTACTCGGAAGGCTGAGGCGGAAGGATCGCCGGAGCCAGCAGGTCGAGGCTGCGGTGGCCGGGAGCGGCCACTGCACTCCAGTCTGGGCGACCGAGTGAGACTCCAACTCACAAAAAAAAATAAAAAATAAAAAATAAAGTATACCATTCGGCCGGGTGAGGTGGCTCAAGCTTATAATCCCAGCACTCTGGGAGGCCGAGGTGAGGGGACTGCCTGAGCCCACGGGTTCAAGAACAGCCTGGGCAGCTTGGTGCGATCTCATCTCTACAATAAATCAAAAAATTAGCTGGGCATGGGAGCACATGCCTGTAGTTCCAGCTACCTGGAAGGATCACCTGAGCCCAGCAGGTCAACCCCGGGGTGGCTGTGAGTGTGCCACTACACCGCAGTCTGGGTGACGGAGTGAGGCTCCAACTCAAAAATATAAAAAAAACAAAGCGTGCCATTCGGTGGTTTTCTGCATATTCGCAGAGTAGTGTGACCCCCAGCACTAATCCCACCTTCCCACCAGCCCCTAAAGAACCCCATCCTTATTAACAGCTCACCTCCCAGCTCCCCTTCCCGAGACCCTGAAAACCACCAGTCGGTTTCCTGTCTCTATAGGTAAGGCTACTCAGGACATTTCAAACAAGTGGAACCATAGCAGGTATGCCCTTTTGTTGCAGGCCTCTTTCACCCAACAAAATATTGTCAAGGGTTAGCCATGTTGAACTCTGTGTCGGAACGTCATGCCTTCTGGGGGTCAAACAACGTGTCACTGGACGATCAGAGCACATTCGTTCATCCCTTCGCCACCTGAGGGACACTTGGGTTGTTTCCGCTTCTGAATGCCACTACCGTAAACACTCATCTGCAAGTTTTACGTGAATGTATGCTTTCAATTCCCCTGGGTACACGCCTGTGAGTGCACCTGCTAGGTCACGTGGTATCTCTTTCACTTTGGGGGAAGCTGCCAAACTGTTTTCTACAATGGTTACCCTCTTTCACATTCCCGCCAGCCACGTAGGAGGGTTCCGATTTTGTCACATCCTTGCCAGGACTTGTTACTGTCTGTCTTTGATTAGAGTCATCCTAGTAGCTATGAAATCTCTTCTCATTCTATAAAAAAAGTGTTAGTGCTGGGCGCGGTGGCTCATGCCTATAATCCCAGCACTTTGGGAGGACGAGATGAGAGGATTGCCTAAGCTCATGGGTTCGAGACCAGCAGGGGCAACTTGGCAAGACCTCATCTCCACAATAAATCAAAAAATTAGCTGGTGTGGTGATGCATACCTGTAGTTCTGGCTACTTGGAAGGCTGAGGTGGAAGGATCGCCTGCGCCCAACAAGTCGAGGTTGCAGTGGCCGTGAATGTGTCACTGCACTCCAGCCTGGGCAACAGAGTGAGACTCCAACTCAAAAAAAAAAAAGTATTAGTGACAATAATAGCTACCACTATACTCTGTAAGTTTCCCTAAGTACATTATTTCAATTAATGCCTATTTCAAAGTTCTCAGGAGAATTCATGTTTCCCTTTTACGGAGGAAGACACCAATGCTCCGAGAGGCTGGGGCCATGACAGGGCAGAGGCACAGTGGGAACAGAGACACACCTGCTTCCTTCATGCCAGCTCCTTCCACTGTGCCAGAACTACTGCCTAATGGCAGAGGGCTCCATATCCTGAACATATAAAGAGCTCCTACACATCAATAAGAAAAAGGCAGACACCCAGTAGGAATATCGGGTACAGGTCTTCACAAAAGCGAGTCTCCAAATGGCCAGGAAGCAAGCTCTTCACAAAAGAGGTTCTCCAAGTGGCCA